CGAGCGCACCCACCCCATAACTGGGCCCTCTCTGCACACAGCTGGTCCTCTTTCAGCTTCTCTGTGGTGATGCAGCGGTGTTGAGGGTGGGGCTGATCAGGAGAACCATGATCTTGGACCTCAAGAACTGTGAGCCAAATGCTTCTTTACTTTATGAAGTACCAGCAATGGTATTTTGTTGTAACAACATCGAATGGCCTAATATGCAGTATATAATTTGATAAGCGCAGGCATAAAAACACACCAGTGACACCAGCACCACTTTTCTATACCTTATGCCACTCTCCTCCCACCCCTATCCCCAGTCAGCCATTGACTTTACACTTTAAAAAACATTTTCTAGAATTTTATGTAAGTGGACCCATGCATTCTGTAGTCATTTTTATCTTCTGCATTCCAGTACAATTATTTTGAGATTTTTTTCAACACTGATTTGCTGTAGCATGGATCAGATCAAAAATTTACTGGACTGCAGCCACATGTAAATGGGCACTTAGGCTGTTCCCAATTGGTGGCTGCTACAAATATTATAAACACTCATGCACCTGTCTGTGGCAGATATATGCTTTCGTTTCTTGTGAGTAAATATGAGGCATGGAATAGCTGGATCATGCTGTGGGCATGTAGCTTATAAAACCACCACAATGTTTGACATAGTGGCTGCATTTCGCATTCCCACTAGCGAAGTTCAGGTTCACCTACACACCTGCCAAACATGTAAGAGCAGTCTCTTTTAGTTGTAGTCCTTTCAACATATGCATGGTGGCATGCCACTGCTGTTTTAATTTGCTTTCCCCTCAAAATGATGTGAACATCTGTTCATGACCTTACTTGTCACTGATGTCTTTTTTGGTAGACTGTCTCTTCAAGTCTGTTATCCACTTTTAGACCTGGTTGTTTGCTTTCTTATTGCTGAGTTTGATGAGTTCTTTATATAAACTGGATACAAGTCCTTTATCAGGTACGGGATTTGCTAGGTATTTTCTCACAAGTTTTCCTTTCTTTTGTCTTACAAAGAATAAAATTCATTAAATTTAATAAAGTCAAGTTTATCAAAATTTTCTTTTCTGAATCATGATTTTGATATCCAAGAAATTATGATCTAGTCCAATATCACAAAGACTTTCTTCCATGATTTCTTCTACAATTTTTTTATTTTA